CAGGCTCCTATCATCTCAATTTTTTGCAAAGTATCCATATTTGATATAACTATAAACATATAAAAGTTTCGAGTTCGCTCCATGTCTGGTTGTTAGTTATTTCAAACTTCAAAAAATCCTGTATCCGCCCCTGCAACTAAAAGTAATTTGGAATTTATCAGGGTTGGCAACCATCAAGTTCAACTTAAACCAGGCAATGGTATTAGATGCTTATTTTTGCAATCGAAAAATACCCTTTTCTAAACTGTAATCACATGCATCCAACGTATTATCGCATGCAAAATTCCACAATTCAGTATCTTTAATAAATAAAAATATATTATTTATAAAGATATTAATGAGAATGGGGCCAAGAATGGAACCTTGAGGCACTCCTGATAAAATATCAACCCAATTAGAAACAGAAGATCCTATCCTTACCCTTTGTTTACGATCATAAATATACGATATAAGAAATTTAAGGCTTTCTTTAGAGAAACCATATGCCTCTAATTTAGCATGCTAAATTAGAGGCATATGGTTTCTCTAAAGAAAGCCTTAAATTTCTTATATCGTATATTTATGATCGTAAACAAAGGGTAAGGATAGGATCTTCTGTTTCTAATTGCTAGCAATAAGTAGATCTTCTGTTTCTATTGCTAGCAATAAGTAGGTCATGCGGAATGAAATCATATGCTTTAAATAGATCCACTAATAATGTTCCATCAATACCTCTATTGTTAATGCATTCATGCCACTTATTAAGTAAAAAAATAAGTGTATGCTGAGTACTATAATCTCAACAAAAACCACACAAAAATTTATCAAATTTTGGTTCCATAAATAACAAAATTTGTTTATAAACAATCATTTCAAAATTTTTGGAGAGAACGGGTAGAATACTTATAGGGCGATAGTTAGCCTTATCTGTTGGATCGTTTTGCTTAAGACACGGTAAAACATCCGCCATTTTTAGAAATGATGGAAATGTTCCAACTAAGATGCTATTGTTGATACAATCTGTAAGACTATCCGTAAAGTGTATTATGTAAGATGTTAACATAAAAGTTGGTATTTCACCACTTTTTTTTTTTTTTTTATTCATAGACCCTACAATTTTTGTAATATCATCAGGTGTAATACAATGGAACCTGAGATTATGTGCATTCGTTTTGAATTTATTTTTAATGTTTCTTATACTAGGATGGTCAACATACTTTTTATTAGCTGACTGGGTCTGAAGTGGAAAAAGTAAAAGACCATTTAATATGGTCGGCCATACTTGATGGCAATGCAGCATTTATGAAACTAGTGTACCCAGAAACGTCCGAGTTTGCAATCATTTACAAAACTTCCACCTAACATGTTAAAAATTGCAAAAGAATTTATTTGGAATGACAACAATCAAGTTCTAGGTAGACTTACAGCATCAAAATTCCATAATATTTGCACAAAGGTAAACACAATTCAAACTAAAGGAGTCTATGACCAGAGAAATATTTTTGATGAAATTTTAGGAAAAAAAACATTTAAGACTATTTCTACATAACATGGTATTGCAATGGAGCCACACCCGAGAATAGAAGTTTAAAATTTTGAAAATAAATCATAAAAATTTCTAAACTTTTGATCTTGGAATGTCAATTCACCTTACATACCCTTATATATCAGTATCACCAGATTTAGAAACCTTTTGTGATTGCTGCGGAAATCGAATAATAGAAATCAAGTGTCCTTATTCCATTTGTGAAACAAAACTTACAGTTGAAAACCTTGATTACTAAGTTGAAAAAAATGGCATTGTGAATTTGAAACCATATCACACATATTATACACAGATTCAAGGCCAAATGGCAGTAAAGAACATTTAAATAAGTTGGTTTTTGGTATACACTCACCATGGACACTATTTAGAAAAAATTATCTTTGACAGCATTTACTGGAATAAAGTTATTAAGAACCTTATATACTTTTGGGAAAACCACTTTGCAATTCGAATTTTGAAAGGCAACGATCAAACTTCTGCCATCAATTAAAATTTTGCCATCGAATCAGATTATGCTGAAAACATTACTTCTAAATCAATTAACACGACTATTACTGGTTTAAAGATTATTTCAATAAAACAAAATAACAAGAAAAAAAAAAGTTAAAAAATCTAAAACTAAGTATTGTTATATCTGTGATGTATGTCATGAAAACTGTGAAGTTTCTGCTGAATTATTCGATAAAAATTCTATTGCATGTTCGTTGTGCTCAAGATGATATCATTTTTGTTGTGTGGGTATAATGTTTGAATCTGATATTCCCTAAAAAATGAACAATGGCTTTGCTAAATATGCGCCTAGTCAAAAACACTACAAAAACAATTATCAATCAGCAAATATTGGTGGTAATAAGTTGCACAGTGCAGTACATATTTAAAACAATATCACCTATAAAAGAAAATAATTTGATTGGATGTTCATTTGCGAGAATATTGAATGTTTTTAATTGTCTTATTACTTGTTCTACAAGGATTTTAAGATTAGCTATTTTCTTAGTTTATTTAATTTCAAACAGTAGCATTTGATATAAACCTCTTTTTCCAGGTGTTACATACAATGTTATGTTACATACCAAACATTCACTTTGTACCCAGTAAGCACAAGACGCATTTTAGACACTTATAGACGTCTAAAACTAGTCTAGGTAAAGACGCACTTTTATAGACGTTCTAAAGACATCTTTTAGACGTCTTTTATGAATGCGTTTTAAAAATGACCTTTAAAAGACGTCTTTTTTAAAGATAAAAAGACGTCTAGAAGACGTCAATTTTTAAGACATCTCCTTGACGTCTTTTATTAAGGCGTTTTTAAAATGACGTTTAAAAGGCGTCTATTTAAGCGTTAAAAAAAAGTCTAGAAGATATCTTTTTTTAAGACATCTTCTAGACGTCTTTAATGAATGCGATTTTAACATGACGTTTAAAATGCGTCTTTTTAAAGTTTAAAAATACGTTTAAAAGACGCGTAATAAATAGTCTAAAATACGCATTAAAAGACGTCTAGATCAAAGCTAAAAGACGTCTTTTCTTAGACCTGTTTATAAATATGTCATTATGACTTCTTTTTGACGGCTTTGTCATTACGCGTTAAGTAGATGTCGTAATTCAAAGTAAAAACATAGTTTTTATTATTTTCAATAATTTGTTCAAGTTTTAAGTGTAAATTACTTTAAATTAAATTACTTTTTTACACAATTGCTAAAATTGTTGTCACAGGAATCACTAAAATAATTGCTATAATATAATATATCTTTTTTTTATTAATAATTATTTTGCTTTTTTAATAGATAGTTGACTGATCATGATAATAAGTGAAAATGGCAAGAATAATATATAAGTTAAATATCAGTACTTTTAGTTTTTATACACCCACAAGCCATATAATAAGTTAAGTATGAGCTCAAAAATTAGCTAGAAATACGTTTAGTAGATTTTATTGTAACTAAAGGTAAGTTATAAATGTTTAAAATACTGTTTTGATATATATTTGTTAATGTTATTTATTATTTTCATCTTCGATGCATCAACCGTTGGTGGTGATTACAGCAACATTATTTTGATTGCTGGTTTCTATTTTGTATATACGAAATTAGAACAATATATGATGTTATAAATACAATGAATATATACCACATACTACGCGAAAATGTTACGTCATGTACTTGAAATTACCTGGAAAAAAACGTCTAACATACGTCTAAAACGCGTTTTTATAAAAACGTCTTCATTTAGACGTCTTTTAGCATTATGATCTAGACGTCTACAAGTGCGCCTTTTAGACCTCCTTAAAGACATCTTTAAAACGTCTTTTAAACGTCTTTCTGCTTACTGGGTATGTTAAAACCTTTCAAACAGTAGCATTTGATATGAAAACCCTTATCAGCCATAACATAAGAAAATTGTGGTATTAAATCAAGAAATTATGAATCAATTGATCTATTGTCAATTTTTATTGAAAATAGATCCTGGGTATGAGCTCGATACAAAGTTAATAGACGAATTAGGTATTATACTGAATAATATTTTTATTGTGTTATGGTGTTTGTATTCAGACCAAGTCATCTTTTTCCAGTCTGGATTTTTGGGTGTTTCAATAATTAATTCTGCTGCATCAATAATTGAATGTATGGCTTTGATATGATCAAATCGTTTTGGTCTTGTAGAATTTAAAGCTCCTTTATCAGGAATAAAAATTAAATGGCGTAAAACAGAAGCTAATTCTTTAATCCATGTTACAAATATGCGACTTGCTAGAAAAATTGATATGTTAAATCGATGAGATAAATCTTTTTCTGTTAACGCCAATCTTATTTTCATTAAAGTTAGTAACATTTCATTAGAGTTAGTAACATTTCATTAAGTGCATAACTTTGTTTTTGCTCCAAGTTTATGTGGAAATTTTTTAAATTTTCTGTTTATTATCAAATTTGTATAAAAGCCATTCCATTTTCTTCTTATTACTGGAAACACAATACCATGACACTGAAAATCTTTTTATTTTGAATACCGGTGTAAAATAAAACATTTTCATCTGCATTCAATAGTTTTCAGTGAAATTCCAGGGACTTATATTTTGCTAGTTTTCTACGTAATATTTTATTATTTTCTTTAAGCAGTTTATTTTTATTTCTAAGCTCATCTAGCAATATATCTTTGTTACTAAGCACATCAAGCAGTTGTTTAGCATGTGCAATATTTCTGAATCAAAACTTTTTTTTGTGGTGGCTCATTTTGATTATTATCTGGTAACAAAGTTACACTGTCAGAAATTTCATTTATATTTTCACTTTTATTGAAGTCTATCGATTTAAAAGACATTTTTCTTTTACAGTTTATACAAAGGTGAATCTATTGGCACTAATTTTTGAGTTCTTTGAGAAGCATCATATTCAAGATTCAATGTTAGGTAGTCTAAACTTGATTTATTAAAAAAATGTTGAGAACAAACTCTGGATTTTGCACCAGAACTACAAACCTTTTTATTACTTTCTCTATTGATGAGTAGTTTTCATATATTTCTCCTATCCAACTCTTTTTCAGTTTTGGAAAGGTATGCAACCTAAAAAAAAAGTTTTTTGTCAGCTATATTAGTTAAATAAGATTATTTAAATTTCGTTTTATTTTTAATTAGATACGTTATATAATAAATTTTTTAACATGAAAAAAATTCTTATGTTTCAAAAGCTTATAAGCTTATAAGAGTAAACAACAAACAAAACAATATTTATTTGCTCCAATTCTGCTGTAGAAAAAAATTGTTTTTACCTGAACGGCGCTTCACAAGAACATTTAGGATCATCCCTACACACCCCATTTCCTTCAGAAATAGCTTTGTTCTATTTTAATAACTTATACTGGCCATTAGAGCACCCTTTTACAGCACAATGAATCGACATGTTTTTCTAATTTTCTATACTAAAACTTGCAAAATGTTTGGTTTACCTCCCATATTTTTGCGCATAACATTTAAAAATACTTGCGCATGTCAACTATCCAATTTCGCAAATCGTGTATTGAGATATTTCTACAGTAATAAAAAATCTGTATTAAAAAAGCAGATTTTAAAAAACGCAAAGCATTCAACATTCAATTCCAGAAAGCTTTTATTAAATAATAAACCTGCGTTTTTTTATAAATAGTAACAAAAACTTTACCTATTGTCTCCATTATTATCAAAAAACGTTTCTGAATGATCTTTTTTTTAATATTTAATTTTTTTTTTTTACAACCATCGTCTCGCAGAGGTCAGAAAATACACAGCGATTTTTTTGCAAAATTCATTAACATTTGTTGTTTTGTAACATTTTTGCAGTTTTTGTTTAACTTTTAAAAAATATGTTGCCGCTACAACAAATCAATCATAAAAGCAAAAAATTATCGAAAACACTATATCGAAAATAGATAATTTACCGAGATAGTTTAAAGTAGTGAAAACCTTCTACTAAACAAAACATCAGAGAAAGCGACAAATAATTTTCAAAGGAACCATCGTTTTAGTTTTTGAAGCGATAAAATTATAGAAAAAAATTTTCATTTTCATGAAAACATTTTTTTTCTTTCCTACTAATAATGCAATATAAGTTTTGATAAATGTTCATAAAAATAAATAATTTTGTTGGTAAAAAAAAAAAGGCTATTTTTTAATAATTTTATCATAGAGTAAAGTTTATAAGTGTTAATATTTTGTTCCATACTTACTTTTGTTAATTATAATATATATTTATTTCTAGCATGGTAATTAAATGGATGAGTCAAATATAGAAATTAACTCCAAAAATCAATTGCAGAATTCGTCATTCAAAGATAAAAATAATTTAGATAGTGAAAGCAATACCACTTTTGAAAGTGGCGATCTTGGAGATGTGTTTACATCAAATCGTATGTTAGGATACATTGATGCTATCATGGCTACGAGTGCTACTTTCCTTGTAGTGCCAATTAAAAATATAAAAGAGTTAGAGTCAAATAACACCTTTTCACATTATTTAATCAATATGCGCACTGAATTTATAATGTTTTTTTTGGGTTTTACGATTGTTTTAACCATTTGGGAGAACATGAACGTGCGATCATTGTTTGTTAAAAAGGTTGATGACTTTATATTGACTTTTATTATACTGGAAATGTTGGCAACTATAGTCCTTCCGTTTGCAATATATCTACAAGGTAGTTATCCTGATCAGTATGTCCCAATAATTTTGACTTGCTGTGTACTAGCAATCATTCAAGTTTTAAATATTTTTCTTATATTTTACGCTATTAAAAACACAAAGCTTCTTCACACTAAAATACAAAATTGGTCGCTAATAGAACTTCGCAGGTTTCGCAATATAGTTCTGGTTAGACCAGTATTATGCTTGATTTTAGTCATTATTGGCGGTATACTCTGTTTAGTTCACTATGCTATCTCATGGGGGTTTATAGCTGTTTTAACTCTAATGCCAATATTTCGTAACCTTTTTCTATATGCTCGGCGGCGAATGAAGACGTCAAAAAGAATAGAAAAATATGAATTTTATTATTATTTCTCCAAAAAAAACATTCCAAAAGAGAGGATTGAGATAATGAGTGACGCTGCATTTGCAATTATTGTGAGCCTTATAATTCTTGACATCACAACTAAATTTTCTGAGAATGTTGACTCAGATATTAGTTTAAATCATCAACTTAAAGATAATCTTCTTGAGTTTTATACGTTTCTTGCAACTTTTGGAATAGTTTCAACTCTATGGTACGTCAATCATTGTGTTTTCCACTTGTTTCGTACTATACCGGCAATAGCACTTTATATACAAAAATATTTTTTGGCATTTTGTTGTTTATGTCCATTAGCAGCTAACATGATTCTAAAATTTGGTACCAAAGGAGACGAGAGTTCATCAAGTAGTATTTGTTATGCCAGTTTAATAGTTTTTTGTGCCAGCATGGGAAATTTTTTTCTTTTTCTATATGGATTTTTGACTAAAGATAAATATTTTTACAAATGGGCAACATTTGGTCGCAGTTTTCGTACTATGTCACAACAAAATAAGTATATCATTTTTAAAACACTTAATGTTCCATTTTGGTCACTTTTATGTGCTTTATGTAGCCTAAGTCCTCCAAAAATAGCACTTTACATTCTTTGCGGTTGTTTTCTTGCTACACCGACAAGTTTTTTTATTGCAAAGTTGGTTTTCATGACTCATGTGGGAAAATACTTGCATTTCAAAAAATCTTATTTAAAAAATGACGTAAACATTAAAACCGAAACCTTAGTACAAAGCCAAGAAAACGTTTTAAACAGCAATAATTCTTTAGAGCTAGAATTGGCGCATGAAAATCAAATATCTTTGGAAGATGAAAAATCATAAAGCAAGAAGTTAAAATCTCCTGTTTTATAATGTAAAAAACAAATAACTTTGAAGGCATTAAACTGTTTTATAACTGTTAGACTGGAACTCAACTTTTCAACTAATACGTCATTTAAATGTTACGGACTATTGCTTTAAAAGAGAATGTTAGTCGAATTAAAGTATAGTAATTTTAGCGAAATTAGTTGTTTAGTTTTGCAATAAATGCTAATAATTTTAATATTATTGGGTAAACGTTGTATTAATTTATTATTAAGTTAATATATTACTTTATCGTGGTAGAAAGAGTTAAAAATAATTGCAAACAAACTGGATAAATCATTAAAATAAATGTTAAGACAGAGTAAAAAGTGGTAAAATTGCGTAAAAAGGATATAATACTATTGAGCTAAACGATCTAAAAGATTTTTGATAAACAAAACTTAGTTGGCGAACGAGGCATTGTACCCAGACAGCAAGGGTATAATGGGCTCGCACTGGTCCTGCGTAGGCTGCCGCGCTGGACTAGCTGCGGCTGCCGACGTTGGCGAAGCTCCGTTTTGCTCTGAGAATTTTTCATAGACCAGCCGTGGCTAGCCAGTGACGACATAACAGCGGCAAGCCACTGCAGGAAAAGAACTGGCATAACAACGATTAGCCATTTCTACAGCGTACCATTTTAATTTTGTCATTATTAACTAACGCATGGTTTTGTTATGAGTTTTCATTTTGAAAACTCATAAAACCATTTTAATATAATTTCCTTTTAGATCACGTTTACTTAATTATTGGAAGTTGTTGCAGAATCGGCTGTAATTTTTTATTTAAAAATTGGCGTATTTTTCATTAGTTTAAGAACAATAAAATGTATTAGACACACGATTATTGAATTTTTTAAATTTTAAGAATAAATTTGAAAAACAGACGTGAATTTCAAAATATATTTACGCGACAAAAAATTGTTATTATACAATGATTTGATTTGTAACCCTTCGACATTGGTGCTTTTCTGCGATTCATATCCACTCGCCAAAATGATTCGTTATAAATTACTGCTTCAAGTTGTAACGCTACTTTCTTCTTTAGTGCTTGCATCCATTTTAACTTTATTAAAATAAAAATAAACATGTTCACAACTTGATAACTTATTACATATATACTTATAAAACATAGTAACAACATATATACAACATGGTCACGAGATATATACAACATGGTTATCATATTACAATTAAGTTAATTTTTAATAGTGACGAAAAAGGTGAACCTATTAACATGATATTAAAACCTAGTTACCTAGACTAAGAGTTAAGACAATGAAATTTAAAATTAAAAAGCAAGTGCAGGATACTTACAAATAAATTTATTAAGACATGTGGAACTTGGTTTATTATAGACCAAAGCTCCATTCGTAATTTTATGTCTTGAAATAAATTTTATGATTAAATATTCAATTTACTTCATTGCATATTCTAAATAAAGTAAATAACACGCCGAGACAAATAAATTTATGATTTTATTATAACATAGATAACTTTAAACTGTTGCCACAGCATGATTACAATTTAAAGCATCCTAAACATTTCAAAAAAGACGCACATTATCATTATACCATTAAAGTATTAATTATTGAACATATAACATTTAACATAATTAACATATAATATTTAAATTATTCAATATGAAACCCAAATATAATGTTCTTTGTTATTGGCAATATCCAGATGAAATCTGTTTATCTAACTGCAAAACAAAAACTTCATCAAATTTGAATAAGGCAATTGTGTAACTTTAGACAGATATCTTGAAAAAATCCAAGTGTATAAAGGTAGTCAACTGAGTCTATGTATAAAGGTAGTCAACTGAGTCAAATTTATGACTAAACTGCCAACATTGTACAGTTGTACAGTTTTTTTATTTCTTCTCAAATCATGGGATTATATTTTATTATACATATTACTCTTTAGAAATGTTCAATGCAAGGGTTGCTCTAACAAGCACTATGTATGTTTCTGTAAAGAAAGCAAACAGGTTACATTTATTATTATTATTTTTTAATTATTTTTTATTCTTTTTATTATTTTAAATTTTATATGCTATAAAATAAATATTTTTAATTTATGGTTCCAGTTCTAAAACGAAAGTATTTAAAAGATCAGATAGCTAAGCAAGGGTCATTTAGAACCCGGCATCTAGGCCAAGTTGGTAAGAAAGAGACTCTCCTTTCTTTTTCTTCTTTTTCACAAGAAAAGAAAGAAAAAGAAAGGAGAAAATTAATAACAAGTGACACGACACTTCATTCAACTAGTGATTGTATCAGTGAAATTTATGATGTGGAAATAGATAAGAATGATGATTATAAAAATCAGAATCATGAGTTTTTTGCAAAAACACTGTGTAAAAAAAAAATTACACAGATAGAACTAACATTGCCAAAGCTGCTATCATGTTCAAAGCTAGTGACACTACAACATCTGCCATAGCAACTGCTACCTTGATAGACTATCAAACTATAACTCAGAATGACAGATCACAAATTACCATTGAAAAAAAAGATATTTGACACTAAAAAGTGTGTTTTAACCATATTTAGTGAAAAACACAGTTTTTCATTTGAAAGTCACATATATTAGGATATGATCATTATGGAGAACCTATTATTAAC